CAAAATGTTGACCAAAGTTTCAGGGATTCAGTTTACGTCCTTGAGTATTTGTGATGGTTCTTTACATACATGTGGACACAAAAGCAAGACTCAGAGGCAGGATGGTTGAAAGCAAGCAGTCTTTTACTTGGTAAGAAGATCAAGGCAGAGTTTGGCAACAGGTACTTAATCAAAGATTAACAAAGCAAGCAAGAAGCAGAAGAGCAGAACTGGAAACACGCTATGGTCAGGAATGAAGGCTAGAACGCTAAACTACAATCCCATTGTACGCCTCAGTCTTCATTTTGGATTTAATGCTCTGATCTGGATTTTTTGTTTGGCTGGTAAGATTATTGTTTTTAAATGTGGCCAATATCAGATTCCGGTATTAACTGCTCATGGTCTTGATCCGAGCTACATGCGTGGAGAACAATAACAAACATGTAACATAACACGCTGTCTAGAATTTAGTGTTTGTTTAATTATTTTCATTTATTCACTCTCACCTCTTTCTGCCTCCAGAAGAATAACACTAGCAGGCACATTTAATACAAAATTGTCACCACAGTGTGTGATTGCATAATTGGGCCTGCTCCTTTTAATACTAGCTCTTTGGCAAAACGATGTATTTAACCGTGTTGTTGGCTCTGACGAATCGTGTCATGCACCCACTTCATCCTCGCTTTATGGCTGTCAGATTGAGCAGGGAAAAGCTCATCCATATAAAGTGTCAGGGCAAGCATACTGTGGTTGGTGCTCATATCTGTGATGTTCAGAGAAAAAGTCAGATCTGAGTCACATATGTGCAAAACAAATCTGATTTGGCCACTTTTGCCTGCAGGCTGAATTTAGCCTGAAAACTTCACAGCAAGTTATTCAATCTGGCAAATTGCTGGAGTAAGAAGGCTGGTTTATATGCAGGGAAGCTAATCAGGCAATTGGGAACAGCTGATCTGGTGAGTTATTTAATCAGGTGGCTGGTAATAGCAAGAACACTCAGAGGGAACTACAGGGTCTGTCGAGAATGTCTGGTATCTGAAATGACAGGAGAGGTTAATGACCGGAAAATCAAGAAAACAAGCAGAAATGACAGAACAGAGGGAGGCGTTGTGACAATATTCCTATGCTCTAAATGTTGCCTGCCTTTGCTTCTCAGCAGAAGCTTAGCAAGCTTAATTTGAAGCCACAGACACTCTGTGGCCATAGAAATCTTCATCAAAGGCTGCCATCATCCAAACACATCAAAGGACAGACCTCTGGCTGGGAAAAGGCAAAGGTTTCTCTTTCTGTGTTTGTGCATCTGTCTGCCTGCTGCCTTCAGAACTCCGGAAAGACATCCTTTATTACGCTTCTTTTATACAGAACCCAACAGACTTGCCAGTGCTGGTTTTCTCTTCTCATACTTCTAGCCAGGATCTGTGAAATGTATTTTCACACATGACAAGACAGTGTTAGCAATGTGTGCTGAGGCTGTATGTTGTGCTGTATGGAAGCGTGTAATGTTTCTGCCCTGGGAAAAATCCGATCCTATGTTGTGTTTCACTCGGATTTCCAATATTTCTTAATACATTTTTTCCCCTGAATTAACCGCTCCAAACTAATTTTCACCATGAACAAACAGCAGACTGAAGAACGTCACCTTCTTGTGATTGGTTCACTTGCTCTGTGCAAAGCTGTATTACATAAGGTTTTGTATCCTATTCACGGCTGGATCCTGGAGTCTTGTAACTTTTTTGCAGACTACTGTACATTCAAAATCTGCATGTTGGCGAGGGTCCATCCAAGAGAAGCTCAACATTTGTGACTGTACGCATTTGAAAGGAAGCACGTCGCATAGTTTCATCAGTTTTGTTCCATACTCTAGTCCAGTTTGTAGTGTATGCACCTCTAGCTGGTTGGTACGATGGCCGAGAAGTGCAAACATGCAAAACACTTTCATTAGGAGAAACGCGCAGCACTTTTAAATATAAATATTAAAAAACTAATTTGCCAAAACACATGCAGATGAAGAAACATCTTCACCACTTTGAAAACACATGCGCAGGGTTTACTAAAAGTGCTGAATAAACGAAACACTGCAAGTACAACATGCTGAAAATAAAATACATTGCAAGTAGCTCAAAACACAACAGAAACCTCGGGACACTAAAAGTGATGCAAACAGCTGGGACCGTAAAGCGTGTGCACCTGTCGGCCACCGTAGGTTTGCCAAGAAAAAGAAGAAGGTAACAAAATTAATACTTTTTTTTAAGAGAGGTTGTTTGACAATATCCGCCAAGGGAATCTGGCCGTGACCAACATTTAAGAAATACAACTGGCAATAAACTCCTGGAAAACAACTTAATAGAAGTCAGTGTGGATTGGGAAAAGCGCAAGCATGGAAGACCAGATCGACTGACCCTGAAGTGCAGTATAAATGAAACCACATCTGCTTGACAGCAGCTTTGCACGGACACGAAACGCAGAAAGGATGTACAAGCTGTAACAGCGCAGTGGGAGATTTCCAGGAAATCCACCAGGTCCCATGGGATGCGACACAAAGCTGCACATGAAGATGAGCGTGCAAAAGAGGTCTCAACCATAGTCACCAGAACATGTGCACAAGGAGTGTTATATTACAAGCTTTGAATAGAGAAGAGAAACAAATGACATGCATAAAGCCTCTTTTTTACCAGTGGGAACTAATAGGATGAAGACACTGGAACCATTACCATGTAAGAGCATATTTGAATGCTTAATAAGACATCATTACAGCAGGGAGTCAGAGTTGCCAAATAGTGGACAATGGGGTCTGGTAGGTTGCCTTTTCATCACAAGGCAACCCATCGAAAAATGTGGAAAATACTGTGAAAAATACTCCCTATTGCACTTCTGTATGTGTGTTCTATCTGTGTGGGAGTAGTTTGAGCAGAATAAGGGGAGTCCGAGGATGGAGCAAGTATACGGAAAGAGCTTACACTATTGTGTTGCACCAGAGTCAAATTCCTCCCACTTGCTTTTTTTTTTCTTTCTTACTGTGTCTATAATTCTCTTTCTTGTGCAGGATGTTTTATTCGGACTACACAGTTGTTAATGGCCTATGTGCTTCCTTCTTCATCACATGCATTCATTATTTAAAGGAGAAGGGAAGAGTATTAGCTTGCCATGATAAAAGAAAGAAGTATAGCTATACTGTTTTTGGGGGCCATTCATTAGCTTCAGCAATATTACCTGCCTTTGTTCGTATCCTTTCATAATTTACTCATTGTTAAAAGGGCACATCTAACTTGGCAAAAGCTTAAATGAATAACTGTGCGTCTTGTTGTGTGTTTGTGGGTGTTATTGTGTGTTTCTTGGCTTGTGATTGTGATGAGTGATTATATCTTCCTTATCTCTTTATTTCTCACACACACACCCATGCTGCTCACCCACATGCACCTGCCTTGGGTACCTATTTCAATGCACAAATCAATGGCGCCTTATATTCATCATCGTACATTATTCAGATTTGAATCAGGGACTGTCAGCTGTCCCAAATGTAATAGCTCGGACAAGAATAGCCTTGACAGCACATTGCTGTGATTCAGTGAATTTCTATGACACACTAGCCACCAAATGAAACATCATGTCTCATTTTATGACTGCTTGTACCCTGTAGATGTTGAAAAAATGCGATTACCCTTGTGACTTCTGCCGTGTTTTCTCTGAAGCTGTGGCCTTCTTAATCAGTCTGCCGGCTGTTTTCTGTGATTGTGTCTTCCTGTGTGTGTATGCGTGTGTGCATGTGTCTGTGTAATTGTAGTCTCGCAACACACAACGCTGACTCAGGGATGCTGGTAGAAGTTCCTGAGGACTCCAGCATCCGCAATCATGTTAATCCACGAGAAACCATCGGTTATTTTTCCTTCACAGGCTTGGGCAACTATTGTTAGATTTCAGGGTTTAGCACAGGAAGGGTTTGGGTTGCTTCTGAAAGGCATTCACTGTATAATTTTATATAATTCATTCAAATTTAAGCAAGGAAAGGGGGCGTAAAAAGTTATTGATGTTATCCCTCATATTAGTTCCGCTAGCATGCATGAAGCAGGTTTTGCCTCGAGCTTCAGTACAAGACACGATTGTTCTGTGCTGATAATGAAAGGTCTCTTTTTTATGATTTGATACACAGCTAATCTAATTTTTAGGTAGCTCCTGTAAAAGACACAGTTCTATTTAAGAAATGGCCATTCATTTTGTCACACTACAGCTGATAGCAACGTCACACGTGGTAAATCAAGGTACTTTCGGATCCTCCAGTTGCAAAGCTAGGTGAACAAATTATTACACACTCTCATACATTTGCTCATGCATGAACACATTATCTAACAGGAACATGTTGTTCTTTCGGCCATATTATGTTTATTCCCATGAGAACACACAGACAACAGATGACATTCCAGCAATGAAAGATGATCTCTCGCTAATGACAAAAGTATAGTGTAGCAAATGGAATACATTATAAGATGCTGAAATGTCACAGTGAAAATAAATACATTGATTAGACAAGCATCTGTAAGAAGAAAAAGAAAACAATTTAATATTAAATTTGGGAGCGGGAGATTTTAAATCAGGAATTTTTCTTTCAACAATGATAATTTATTATTAAAACATTATCTGATAATATATAATAGAAATCTCATAATTTGCATGCCTAGAAAATACCCTGTATTTCTTACTGTATTAAACTTACTCAGCAATGGGACACATAGGGGTTGGTTCATGCATGCAAGCCATGTGTCCTTTTTAGAGAAATGTAAAAAAATATTGTAGGCTATGGCCTTTGCAAGAAAAGTGTGTTCCCTATCACAAGGGCAAAACTATATCAAGCAAGAGATGCAGGGGCGGTTGGTGGAACAGGGCCAAGTGCAGATTGAGCCGTGTGTGGTGTGTGTGTGTGTGTGTGTGTGTGTGTGTGTGTGTGTGTGTGTGTGTGTGTGTGTGTGTGTGTGTGTGTGTGTGTGTGTGTGTGTGTGTGTGTGTGTGTGTGTGTGTGTGTGTGTGTGTGTGTGTGTGTGTGTGTGTGTGTGTGAGTATAAATACTTCAAATCATAAGGTGAGCACTAGAGATGATGTTCAGAAGAAATAATGACAGCAAAAGGCAAATATTGCAGCTGATGAGCCATATGCTAAACTCGTGAGATTAGAAAGAAAACCTGTTCCTATCTTCAGTAGACTCAACTTCCATGTAGCTGAAAAGCATCAAGGTTGGATATCTTTTAATATTTCAAACAAAAACAAAACAAACAAAAACATACATCATGTATTTCATATTGCTTAAAGAGCATCTGAAATATTCATGTGTTTGTGGTGTGTACAAATCCAGAACAATTGAAACAGCAGTAGAGCATTGATGTTTTTCATATAAATATTTCCATCTACATCTGAATGTCATTTTTAACTAGGGCTGACATGCACCAGCCTAAAGCGGGGGCTAGGTAGGTGGACAGGTCAGTGTGAAGACACCTCATGGGAAATTGTGCTTTACATACCAAGAAAAGGGCTTGAAATTAATGTTTTAGTTGCTGCAGCTGGAAGTGATATTTAATCTTTAACCAGTCAAGATGTTTTGAAAGTCGGTCAGTAACGTTACAGCTTTTACCAGCATTTGCCTAGATGTTATTGTTCATTTCAAACCCTTAAATGAGTATAAAATGAGGTACTAGCTGGTTTATTTTAGGTCCACGCTCCCAATATTTTGACTATGATTGGGGATTTATGACAGTACAACCACGAGGAAGGTGTGAAGAAAGAAAGAAAAAGTGGATAGTGGTTGCCAGTGCACATTGCCTTTTATAGAACAATTTCCTATGTTTTCTTATGCAACTAGGAGCCTCATACATTTCTTCCCTGGGTGAATTGGGTAACTGACACAGAATAATAACAACATTGACAGAGAAAGGAAATAATAATATTCCATATTTTAAAAAGTGTCAATAACAAGGTTCCATTGTCACTCAGAAGCGGACTGTCAGACACATTAGCTGAGTTATGAGGCTGATGCTTTGTTCAAATGAAGCTGAATCAACACACTCTGAAATGAGAATATTCGAGTATCCATAATAAGCCCATGGTACTCTGTCATGGCTACCAGTTTCAACTCAAGTTCACATTATACAACTTGAGCTGTTAGAGCAGTAAGTGGTCGTTACGATTATAAAAAGACAATCTGAGCCACCAACCTTTTAAGTGTAGATATAGATACTGCACGTGTGTGTGTCTGTGTATGTACTTACGTGTCTACAAAACCAATCTATACTATAGATTGACACTCTAGTAGAGGAGTATTGCATGAGTCGGGGGCTGGATGTCTTGTATCTCCAAGCATTGCAAAGGAACAAGCTGGCCATTGACTAAATAAAGCATTATATTGTCCTGTCCTCTTGCCCAGTCTCTCTTGGATGTTTTCGCTGATGTGGCCGCCCTGTCACATCAGTCAGGCAGTCCATCAACAAGTGGCAGATCCTCCAAAGCAGCAGCTGAGCCATTAGTCTCTCCTCTGTCACCCCCTGAATCTTTCTCCTCTTGTTCCTCATCCGGGCTGAGTGGGTCCCCTTCGGACATGCTGTCCAGGGTGTCAAAAGTATGCATTTTGGGCTCAGGGCTGAGGAGCGAGAGCTGAGGCAATAGTGGCCCCTCCCGAAGCTTAGCAGCTAGCTCCTTAGCGCTGCAGGTGGGGGTGTTGGTCTCGTAGATTTCGTGGAAGTTGTTGTAGTCTACTTCGTAGAAGCCCTTCTCCAGGGAGAGCACCGGTGTGAAGCGGTAGCCCCAAAGTACCTCTGTGTCCAGGTAGGAACTTCGTGCCTGACATGTCATCCCTGTCACAGGTATGGATAGGTTTAGGTGTCCACATGCACACAAGGACACAATCAGAATGGACAGGGATACAAACAAACAAACACACACAGATGAAAAGAGTTGGAAGGAGAAGCAGAAAGAGAGACAGCATCAGTAAAATATTAATGGTTATACAGTCTCTGTAGGCAGAAAAGGCCAAGACCTACACAGTGTTTTTGCTAAACTTACTGATCTAAAAAGAAAGTAAAGAAAGTACGAGCTGTTTGGCTGATAAAGTTTGTGCTAAAATCTCACACAACAGTATAAAAGTGATCCGTGTTTATTTTATGAAATATTAGCACATTTGGAAGGCTTGCAACTGCACTTTCTTTAGAAATGGAAAGAGAGGAAGACTTGTTATCTTGTAATGTTAATGATACTGTACATTTCTTGATATTGCCATGATTCACAAGGGTCTATTTGTAAAAACACCTTGGTTTGTACGTGTCAGACAGGTGGTACATTTGTTCAATTATTGCAGCAAAAGGTGAAACTTATAACATGAAATGTCCCAGTAAGCCTTTGTTAGCCAGAGCTAGGCAACGTAAACGTAATGTAAAAGGTACACCTGAGCTACAGAAAGTTTGCCATGCAACTTATGGCTTGTTGTACAAAAAACAAACAAAACAATAACTTCAAAGTTAGAACCAAACACATAATTAATCAAACATGAATTAGCCCATTGTAACTACAGTATGAATCTTCCGATTAGTGGTAACCAGAGGCACTCTCATTAGCATTAGCGGTAGGGCACTAGGTTTTTGGGGGATTCAACATTGCCATAAATAAGATGCAAATTGAATATTTGAAAAACATTTGTACACTGCCGTTCATGGCTTAAACAAATGCCTGTCTTAATTGTAAAAAAAGAAGAAGAAACAAACGGAGAAAGCCTACATGTGCCACATGAAACTAGCATCTAGTCCACACTCTCACTTATAGGTAGGGTAGGTAAGTTTGGGAAACCGGCTCGAGATACACTTTTTGTTATATTCCATGGAATGCTCTTAACATCCCGATAGCAATGAATATCTTAAGTGCTTTGACAAAAAATCCATAAAAATATGTCATCTGTGGAAGCCGTAGTACTGTAAAAAGCACGACATATCATTTTAGCCGGCCCGGCTAAAATAACTGGATGGCCTACCTGCCTGTCAGCCTTCCATCTGTGCACAAACTTATCTCGTGCCCTCATTGGTCATGTGCGCGTTCGTGTGTGTTGGAGGAGGGGCTCTATAAGGAAGTGGCAGATTTTCTCCGGTTGTGTATTTTCTAATTCTAGCGCACTCGAGCCGGTTTCTCAAACTTACCTACCCCACCTTTAACAACTACTAAACGTTTAGCTTCCCAAATTAATTATTTTGAAGATTTTTACTTAAATACAAATCTTGAGTCACTATCTATCAACACATGAGGTAAGACCATTTTCAGTGAGCCTATTGCCCACTAATCCATAAAGACACCTTAAACTATTGCTTGGGTGCCGCCAACGTGAATGAAACGAGGGTCTCTACGATTTTGTAACTTTCAGTAGTCCTACAATTGTAATTTCCTTGTGTGTTGTTGTCTTTGGCTACACAGTTATGCAGGTAATCAGGAAGTGTCATGCTTAAAAGGGGTGAGAAAGACAGGTTTTGGGTGGTGGATGCTTTAACTCTAAACATCTGACTCACCATACTGTAGGTACTCACCCAGCTGCTTAGTTACATAATGCTCTGTCTATTTCTAAATGCATTACATCACAAATAATTTCAAACTTTAATGGGCTCTAAAATAGATGTAAGTAAGAAGAATTGATTTGGTGTCCAATGTCACGGTGAGAGGAGGGGCTTTTGCACCTTTTCTTCAGCTTTCCCTGTGGAAATGAGTGGCCTAGTTTCCACATTTAACTTGTGAAATGTTTGTTATTTCTGTCACTGGATCATCAAAGACAATATAGCGTCTTTCTGTCACTATGAGATATATTTTCTATAGTGTCTATTAAGGGTGTTGGCACATTGTTTGATGTCTTGGTTTTAACCCTTCTACTTTGTGAAGCTCTTTTAGTATAATGTCCTATTAGCATTCAAAAGCATGCATTTGTATCATGTTTATCAAGGTTTAATCAACATTTCAATAGTCCAAGTGCTATTGACTTCAGACTCCAAGATGTTAAATGAACAGGGTTACTAAAAGTCATCACATTCATGGCTTCAGTATGTTGCTAATGCAGGGGAATAAGGTTGATTTGATGTTGAACCACATTTAGACAATTTCCTAAGGGATTAGATCATTCACTACAAAAACAAAGAAGTACAATCCCACATCTTCCAATATGAAACTCACAAATACATTTTTCAGATACAGCTCTTAGGAATACTTCCGACTATCCATATTTGAAGACACTCTTTTCATTTTTCACTCGCAAAGGTATCAAATATTGTAATGTTATGTGTCCCGCTTTCCTGTGCTGCTATAGGCTCTTGGTGCCAGATCAGTGAATTACGTTTTTCCTCCTGTTTTGATGTTTTTAACATTCAATTGAAAAGAGTGTGCTGCTGCAGGGTGCTTCAAGAATTGACGGTTGGAATACGAGCAGTAGCCATTGTACTAAAATGGGTTACAGAATACTTGGGACTGTGTGTACTTGTGCCATTTTATTGCTTTCATTTTCTGAAAATGCAGTTTGTGAATGCACTTATGTCTGGAAGCTTTCATTCAGGTTTCAAATGTAAACACCAAACTGCTGTGCAGACAAAAAGCAGCTCCTGCCTTTTCTCCTGTAGTCTTTCAACTTCTGTTATTTGGAAATAATGTACAAGCTCATTATGTTTAACTGTGGTTCTCCACTAGACCTGTGGAACAGAAACACATATTAGGCAGGCTGTAAGTTTGACAAATTATTGCATTATATCTGAACCTGCGCCCAGAACACTTCCACTCCAATGTTCCCATCTTCTAAACAACTACACAATTATATAATGTGAAAAGGAGCACGAATACCTGGAAAAACACGGTTTGAATGGTGGTATCTTGCACGACATGTATAAACAAAGCTTCAGGCAACTAACACTGCGCGCAAAGCTAACATGAGGGCGGTGGAATTGCGGAGATGCTCACAGAAGTTTTTCTGCAGTTGTTATTGCAATATGAATGTATGGTTGTCAGATCCCATGGCACATTTAGAAGTGCCTCAATGTCAGAACACCTGTAAGCCACCACACACACTGGGAAAAGCATGCACAAGCATCAGCATTAGGTTTTAAGAATAAAAAATGCACAAGTCAACTTTCTGTTACCAACACAACTTTCTCACAACACACATTCTGAGCTGTAATACGTGTGTTTATATGAAATAATAAACATAAATAATGGATGCTTTCCATGTAGGTGTGTCGGTATTGGGTTTGTGCTACTGAGCATGCTGGCTTACTGGTATATCAACATGGAAAAAGCCCGTCATTAATGTTATTTGTGACACTTTGCTTAACCAATGTTGACACATCAGAATGTCAGGACGTCAATGCAGATGTTGACTGCTGCTGCTCCTCGTAGCACTTCAAAACTGCATGACCACACAAACATCCACCTATAGCCTTTTACTGGGCTGGCAATGCCTATACGTCATAATATGTAATAGAACACAACCTAAGCTTAATAGTAAAGCTATTATATGTTATACTTGTATGGAAATGTGTTTAGCATTTTTCCATGTTTTGGTTTCTTTCTCTTTACTAGTTGTAGTATGCCCTTATGTTTTGTAGCTTAAGGCTTCCTGTGCTGACTCAGCATAGAATTGGCACGCGACCTACGCACTAGCAACTCTAACTTGATTCATTCAGTTACCGAAAACCGAGTTTCTGCTGATGGATTGTCTCATGACAAGTTTGATTTGTGGAGACATGAAATCTGTTTATGAACACCTGTCCTACCACAACTACAAGGACAGTCTGGGAGGACCGAGGGCACACAATGACATTCAAGTTTGAATCTGTGTTCAGTATTCTGCTGAAAGTATGCTTTTATACTGTTAGCCAACTAACTTTTTAGAACAACCTTGGGCTACCAAAAGCAATTAGTTACCCTCGGTGCTTGTAAATTATGTTCAGAGGCAGCTTTGATAACAGAGAAAATAGTCGGGTTGCTTCTTCTAACACTAAATAAAAAATGTTCCATCTAATAAAGGCCTAACCACTTTTTAATTTTATAAATACAGGATCATTTCTCAAGGTAAAACTTCATTTTTTAATGATAAGATTAACGGGCCGTCTCCACGGCAGCGTTAAAAAAATCTTGGAGGTGGGCGTATCTGAAGCTTGGGGATTTTTTTGCGATCAACCAATCACATGAATCTCCCGCCCGCGACATACGAAGCCAAAAAGCCCGAAGTAAACTGGATATAAACTCCCCAAAACAGGCGAAAACATACCACTGTCTCTGCCACCTCCCTCCATGCCTGGCTCCTCCGGTTTATATCCCGGTAGGTCTGGTCATAAAGCACCGGGTGATTGATTCGCTACCGCTAATTTCTCCTACATTTTTTGGAATATGAGGAAATGATCTGCGGTATGTCTCTCCCAGCATACACGCCGTTTGATTGGCTAGAGCTTGAACTGTCAGATTTGCGTACACGGGATTTGATTGGCTGACGCTTCCTCCTCAGCTTCAAAAGTTGAACATTGTTCAACTTTGGATCTTGAAAATCCTGAGAATCTCCGCTCGCCTGCCCACAATGCATTTCGGCGAAAGCGAAAAAAAGTGACGTCACCCCATTCAAAGTGAATGGGCAGAAGCGTTTCAAGATTTTTTAACGCTGCCGTGGAGACGGCCCGTAACTGAGCCACGGGGCAGCAAACGGCACTTTTCATCCCATTATTTTCCAATTCTTGTAATTTGACTCTTATAAATGTTTTGAAAACAATAGGTGGAAGCGATAAATGGCAGATTTTAGGGATTAAGTAATACAGATAAATGTTTGGATGGATTAGTGATTACATTTTATACAAACATATTTCCCTAAAAGCCACATTTTGTAACTTTTTGCACATTGTATCCCTTGAGCATGTACCGAGGGAGTATTTTTTTTCTGTATAGTAAATACATTTATTCAAACGGACAATTAAAAAGAAATACACCAATTTGTTTGTACCAGCACCCATTTTTTTTACTGCACAATTTGATGTATGTATCCTTTATTATATGCACCTTAGCCATGCAGTGTCTGATTCTTACTGAAAGTCTAACATAATGAGATAAAGGACGTTTAAAGTGAGAGTTTGTGAAAAATGTGCATAAGTCTCACAATTCAGTAAGAGTTGGCAGCCCTGCAGACATTTTCAATTTATTTTCCTTACAAAGTTATACACACCGGTGAACAGAGATGGGGTCGTTACTAAAAAAAAGTAATCTATTACATATTACATATTACTTTAAAAAAAAAGTAATATATTACACTACTTCGTTACTCTCTACATAAAGTAACTCGTTACTTTACTCGTTACTTTACTCGCAGGGCCGGCCCGCCCCTCCCTACAGGCAGATCACGCAGACTGCTAAAGTTTCAAATGTTCTCTTTAGTTCAGTTTCCATTGTCGCATAAGACTGATCCAGATAGCTCTGACTATGGCTGTCCTCTGTCTCCTGCTATCTGTATTTTGCGCAGTATATCTCTGAACGATGCGATGGTGATTCCACTGTGCAAATGGGCAACATTACCTCTACTATGAAGGATGCTACAAGCCTGTCCATCTCTGCTTTGGTTACCGGTCCTCCAAATTCTCATTTGTGCTGCTTCAGAGTCGGCGGTGGCGACTCACAACATCCTCACTCTGGGTTCGGGGGTCCGGTCCTTAGCTATTAGCTTCACTTTAGCTTCTTTGCAGGTGTTTGTTGAGGTTTGACGTGGTGTTTGCAGCAGTGTATAACAGCTTCTGGCCTGGACACAGTTTGCACCTCACCGTCACATTCCTGTCTATTCTTCGGACGAACTCAAAATAATGGGCATACCTCCACCCTCGAAAGTTATCGCTGACTCAGCCATGTTTATGCAGCACTGCTCGCGGAGATGTAAACTCGCGAGTCGCGCAGATTACGTACATATAAACCTGCGGCGGAAACCCCTCTTGTCTGTCAGTGTGATTATGACTGATTTTATAAAAGTAACGAAGTAACGCGTGTCGGGGCAATGTTAGTAACTGTAGTGTGATTACTGAATTATAAAAGTAACGCGTTACACTACTCCGTTACCGACAAAAGTAATATTATTACAGTAACGCGTTACACCCAACTCTGCCGGTGAATGTAAATTAGGGCTGAGAATGATATGCACAGTTAACATTTTACGCACACTACCACAAATATGCACATGGTGTTTCAAACGATGGCTCAGGTGGTTAGGTTGATTTATATCCAGTTTAATCAAATAGTTGACTATATATATTTAATTATGATTATATCTCGGTGTGCTTTTTATCCCTAAATGAGTGCTTGAGAAAGAAAATGCTATGTGTGATTTCCAGAGCCTCACTCACAATTTAGCTTGAACCACACTCTGGATGTCAACGGAGAAAATAAGCGGCTGGCCTTTAAAAAAATACATGAAACCTTTTCACCTCCCACTCATCTGTCAAATTCTTTGACAGCATCCCACTCGTGATGTGGCACAATACATGTGTTTAATAGTCAGTTTGTATTCTAGGGTTTATAAAGCCTGAGCAATTCATGAACATTATCAGATACTGATTTTAATCTTAACTCAATTTGAGTTTTTTTATGAGATAATTTCTGGCTGGATATGAGCCATTAATATTTATTCTCCGTATAAAAAAATAAATGATATTTGTAGTGTATCTCTCCCCTGGCATTACTGCTGATTATTTTAAATATTAATATGCTATCCTATTGGGTCAGGTCAAAATAACACATTAGCCAACAATAAGTTAAAACATGCATATTTATCACTTTAAAAATAGCGGTGAGTGCGTATTCAGCCGACAAATGTGAAGGTTATTAACCTTAGGACCTTAAACATCAATTAAAAAGACATGGTAAATACTTATATAGGCTTCAAACCAGAAACGTGTTTTTTTTTTTCTCTTTTATCCTGACTTCGCATATAGTATATAAGTATAAGTAAAAGCATGGCAAAACATGGGAAAATTGTTCAAATCAACTGTGATTGAGGAATGGTTTAGGCTAGACCTGTTACACATGTCTCATTAAGATAATTATGGAAAGGGAGCATGAGATGTTCACGTGAGTCCTTTTCCTAGCGGTCAAGGACAGTGACGACATGCATGAGGTCATGGTCTACGCTGGTGACGCGAATAGCATTTCAATGACTCAAGTATCCAGCAGCGTGAGCATTAAACATGATGACTTCTGGTGATTAGGAGGAAGAACAAATATGTAATAAATAATACAAAATAAATGTTCAGATGCTTGCGAAGCCATGCCTGATTGCATTAGGGAGCTCTGTGGATTGTACGTGTCTTTTAATAAACAACTGTGTGCACAAGACTAAACACACCAGTGTGTCTCATTTACTGACTCAAAGGATGATGAACACCAATAAAGCAAATTACTAACATGTATAATGCATTGTATTTCAAATGAGAGGATTGTAATTAGTCTTTCAACAAAGGTCAGTAAACAATGAAGCTCAGGCATATAAACAATACTGCATTCAGCCAACATCCCGCTGTAAACACATCAGAACGGCCCATTAACAGCTAGCTGTGGTCCATTATGCTGTAGGGTTTCTGTATTAATATCATTATAATTAAGAATGACAATGGTTTGCAAACATGGCAAAACACTTGCTTTTATCAGAGATTGTGTGTTTTTGAAAATCCCATTGGATAAAACTTGAACATTACAATCTGCTTTTATCTCATTTTGATTGTTAATAGCTACCTCTCATGGTGGTAAATGGGAGCTTTGTGGAACTTTACAGACACACCTGGCCATGTCTGCCTTCTAAATGCCTGGAGCAATCTTTAGGACAGCTTGACTTTTACTAAAAGCATACTGTATAGACCAGCAATGGGCGTTGCTTCACTTCATACATTTAAAAATAAACAAGACATAACCTTGAAGTAGTAACAGTGGAAATGCAGGCTCTGCAGTGAGTACAAAGGCAAGGCATGTGTGGCGTGACAAGCTTTCAATAGTCCTAAAATAAACCTTAAAATGTGTGGACAAGATTATACTGATGTAGACTGCAGTTGAAGGAGTGATGAAAAAACAATTGCCACCTCTGTCAAAATATTTGCCAGCTGTTATGAAATCATTCAAATAATAAACTCCACATTAAATGTTACTTCAAAGTGGAATGCATTACGGTTTATGTCTCATTTTGAGTGTATTATCGGTAGTTAGTTTCCCTGTCTTTCCATCCATTACATTTGTAAAATCTTTTGCAATTTGCAGCACTTACAGGTACTCCCTCTTGCCCTCCCCCGCCTCTTTTGAACAATTCACCCCTCCATGTGAGCCTCTTCTTTCTCTCTTTCCATCCATTGATCTATCTTACCATCCCTCCCACTCAGCTTACTTCCTGTATCAAACATGTCATCAATATCTGTCTCGCTCTATCCATTAACACATCCTTCATATGTCTTCCCATTCAACCTTACTCCCTCTCTACCCTTTCCCTGATCCATTCCCCATAGCCCCCATATGTCTTCCCTTTATCATCCCCCCATCATACCTGTGGCCTCCACCATGCCCTCAAGGATAACGACGATCTCAAACTCCTCCTTTTCCATTTGTGCCAGTGTCATCTCCCAGAAAGGGCTCTTCTCGTTGATCTCGTGAGAGATGATAAGAGGCGACACCAGGAACAGCCGGTCGTCTCCCGTGTCAAATCCGATGTTGATGTCAGTCTGGTTGAGCGGGATGAACTCCCCCTCCTTGGTCTGCTGCGAGCGGATCAGCTTCGCTCTGATCGATGCCTCCACGATGTGAGAGTTCCTCAGGTCCCCCACCCGAAACATCAGGCACATCTTATTGTCACGCACCGATATGACAGCTTTGTGCGAGAACATGAGGGTCTCGGCGCGGTTCTTTGGCTGTGATATCTTGACAAACATGCAGCCCACCATCATGGCGTTAACAATAGAACCCAAGATGGCCTGCACCAAAAGCAGTATGATACCCTCAGGGCATTTTTCTGTGATTACACGATAACCATACCCAATGGTGGTCTCTGTTTCAATGGAGAAGAGGAAGGCTGAGACAAAACTGTTGAGGTTTTCCACACAGGGGGTCCAGTCGTCCTCATCACCATGCACCAGATCCCCTCGAATAAGCGCTATCAGCCACCATAGAAAGCCAAAGAAAAGCCAGTTGACTACATAAACCAAGGTGAAAATGAAGAGACTAAGACGCCAGCGTAGGTCCACCAGCGTAGTGAACAAGTCACTAAGGTATCGGTAGGTCTCTTGCACATTTCCGTGATGAACGTTGCATTTGCCATCCTTCTGCACGTATCGCTGACGTGGCTTCCTAGCAGGGTCAGAAATCAAATGTGTTCTCTCTGTAGAGATCTGAGCATCCCGCATGTGTTTAGGGAGCTTCTTCACCTAGAAGAGAAAGAGAAAGACAGGTTAAGGTTTTCTCCACATGGTTGTGCTTTACAGTACCCACTTTGATTTATTTTCATTAATATTTTCTCTAAGGCTATATTGAGTTTGTGCTGGAGGATGTCAGTGTTAACCTATTTAATGAGATTTTCTTCCAGCCTTTGCAAAACCACACTGTTCCGTGCTGCTGGCAGGATGGCAAATAAAATTAAGAGCTGCTATAAAGTAACTGCGACGTGCTACTCCTCAATGACATTGTGGGTGTCACTGTATGCAGCGGGAGAAAAGGAGAGTAAGGGTACAACAGGAACACAAGGACATCCAGGTCTTTATCTATGTTGGCCCAGCTCCAGTGACGCGATCTGGCTCCACAGCTGTGCCCTGTCTCACTCCTCGTCCCCTGTGTTCCCTCCCCTCACACCCTATGGGACATTGGCAAGCCTGGATAGGAACAGATCCTCCATCCTTCCCCAACAGCCCCTTATGGCATCATCAAAAAGAGTGGCATATGCCTGGGCAATCACATTGAACTCAATCTAGAAATCTGCTTTCATGCACATACAGGCAGTATTCTGATGTTGTATGTTGAAGGGTTTTGAAAATCAATGACTGCCACACAGCCCGACAATGTAGTCTTGCATTGCTTTTGCTTTCATTCTGATAAAAGCCTTTAACAGACAAATACATATAGGGAGCAAAGTTTCAATGCACATTTTGAACAGACCGAGGACATGTTGGCAGCACACTGACACCTTCCAATCTGAGCTGATAATTGAAATGCTTTGTGTGGAGGCAAGAAACCAGCTCCTGTGCCCTCTGAATCCCACACTTTAAAAACGACACCTGGGATTTATATCTCTTTAGAGTCATGCCCACATCACCAGAAAAAAGCTGTGTCTTATTGCTGTTACACTGACAGCTCTATCAGAACGATCACTGTCACAGTTCATCCTGGGAAGGACATAATCTAAGGCACTACGGTATCCTTGCAGTCCCTTCGATTGCAGAGCATGGATAATAAAACCTGTCCTCCAGCTTTTTCCAGGATGTTTTTTTGGGAGATGTTAGGTGCTGTTTCACTGCTCTCCTGTCTACACGCACCACCAGTCAGGCCTGAGTGTGCAGTATTGAGTTGTCAGGTATTGATTTAAAGTGATCCCAGTTGGTGGAACGTTTTGACAAAGAAGAATTGAAAGACAATGCCTATTGACCGGCATCGCAATTAGTCTCTGGATGACGATGCATTCACCAAATGTCAACCAGTGGACTTATTACCAACTGCGTTTAGGGATATTGGACCAAATATAGATTTAGAACCCAATCAGGCCACCATTTTTCCAAGTGAAACTCTCCACATCAGTTAATGTACGTAGTTGTTGTTTTTTCAAATTGTTGTTATTCACTACTTCTCTGCTTTTAAATGAAAGACCGCTTAAAGGTGGGGTATGTCATTTTGGAGAAACCAGCTCGAGTGCGCTAGAATTTGAAAGTAAACAACCGGAAAAAATCTGCCTCTTCCTTCAGACTTCCTTACAGAGCCCCTCCTCCAACACACACGAACGCGCACATGACCAATGAGGGCACGAGATAAGTTTGTGCACAGATGGAAGGCTGACAGGCAGGTAGGCCATCCAGTTATTTTAGCCGGGCCGGCTAAAATGATTGGTCGCGCTTTTTACAGTACCACGGCTTCCACAGATGACAATTTTTTATGGATTTTTTGTCAAAGCACTTAAGATATTCATTGCTATCGGGATGTTAAGAGCATTCCATGGAATATAACAAAAAGTGTATCTCGAGCCGGTTTCTCAAACGTACCTACCCTACCTTTAAATGCATTCCATGGAATATAACAAAAAGTGTTTCTGAAATAAATTACATACCCCACCTTTAAGGAGGCCCATTCATTTCTACACTTTAGGATGTGGCTAATTGAGTGATGGATGAAGCTGTCACCAGCACTGGCGACCAATCTTTGGCCTTTGTAGTCAATACGGTGTGTGGGGGGGATGGTCAATAAACAAATTCATTAGTTCTCCCTGCATGGCAGAAGTAAGTGGTGGGTGTTTTCTGCCATTGAGCCTTTCTAGCTGCGCTTGGGTAGACAGCGTTAGTTGCAATCAGCTGGGGAATCAGGACAGATAACCAGTGCAACTCCACCATCTGTTAATGGGAGTGAGTGGGGTGTCTTTTCCTCCTATCCTCCAAGTAAACTGTGCTCTATATTTAGGTGAGCTAAAGAAACAGGTTTGGTAATACATTAAGAGGCTTGATCTTGTATCTGTTTGCTTACTTAATCTATAAAGTAAGTATACTGGATATCTACTTTATGTTAAACAGCCTTTTTATCCTTCCTTTTGTCTGTGGAAGCCAGTCTGTTTTCCTTACTTACACACATCCATCTGTCTCTACTGATAATTCCCATCTCGCTATATATTGTCCAATCCTTTTTTTCCTCTATGTGCTCCCATCCACATGCCCCCTCTTTCTCACATCATCTCTCTCATCTCTCACACTCTCTCTACCCGCTGTGGTGAGACCGTTGGGATCAGTAGAATGTTTGACCATGTAGTGAGTGTGCATTATACCTGTGCAGGTGTTACTCCTATCTCCATGTTGTGGTCCATGAGGACTCGAGAATCTCCTGACATCCTCAGCTGAAGCTCAACACCTGTAAGACATGAACACGTACGATAGACAAATTATTTCGGGCTCTTAAACAAAACCAGTCTGAAGACCTTGTGTTTATTTTGTTGGAATTTGCAGCAGCACAATAAGCCTAAATTATTTCATCAACAACATTACAATGAATCAATACACTATATCAAAAAGGTCAAAGCCTGCCCTCAGAGCACTTAAAAAACCTGTATCCATTTGACCTTTCAGCCTTCCAACACTTAGCTATTGGATTATACCTCCTCTTTGAAAATCACATACATTATGTCTCATTTCATTTAATCGTTTATTTGAAGAGGGACAATGCACAACAATGTTGTGTTAATGAAGTGCAACCCTTTCAGGCATATTATGTTCTACCTGTCATTTAAATCGATTGACTTTTTCAATATGTCAATATTTGTAATTAGAACGCAAAGGACCCCATAGAAGAGCACTTTCAACTATTAGTTTTGAAAAAGTCAATAAAGAAAGGTTTTACATTTTGTATTTGTTGTAATATTTTGTCTTAATAGTCATGTAAAGTAAAAAACTGAAGGAAATTGTGTGGATTTTATATTATATACAAAATACAGAAAAATAATGTAAATGTTTGAATTCCTCAAAATGTAAATCTTTCACTGAGCAGAGGCTTGGGAATTGTTCATTTATTTTATTTCAAAAAATATTATTAGTAGCTTTCATCTACTTCCCCTGTTGTAACTAAAAAAAATATTATTAGTAGCTTTCATCTACTTCATCTAAGTAGATGAAAGCTACTAATAATATTTTTTGAAATAAAATAAATGAACAATTCCCAAGCCTCTGCTCAGTGAAAGATTTACATTTTGAGGAATTCAAACATTTACATTATTTTTCTGTATTTTGTATATAATATAAAATCCACACAATTTCCTTCAGAACCTATATCAGTTCAATTATAACAAGTGCTTCGATACAGGATATTATCCATATTCTCATAGTGTGTTGTATTTCCATCCATTGATGTCATTAATTCAACATTTCAGACTTTTACTTTCAGTGACTTTTTTACTTTACTTTCAGTGAAACTGGTTCAATTCTCCCACAACAGTAATTGTGTCATGACTATAAAAACTTAAATCAGCCTGAAATAATTCAGCTTCTTATCAAGTTGATAATAGAACATTTAGCAAAGCTAGCAGCTGGTATGTTGGTCTCGCAGTTTCTCCAGACTGAAACATCAAGACAACTTTAACATGAACAAACCTTTGTACAAGCATTCACGGCTTTAAGAGGATGACCCCTTCTGACTTCTATGATCCATCTCACTTTGACTCTGGATTGATTCATCATTAGGTTGACATTTGTGGCACGGACTGAAATATACTGCAAAGGTCCTTCAAGGTCCCCTGATGATTATTTGTAAGAACCTTGATCCCTTGATATTTCATCTTGTTCCATTAACAGCTAAACAATTCTGTTTGTCCAACACGTGTAATGACCATTAAATAACAAAACCATCAGCCTCATCTGTACTTTGTGTATAGTGCTACTGTAGTTAAAACCCTAATTGTTACCAACAAAGACGGTGAACATGGTAAACATTGTACCTGCTAAACATCAACATGCTAGTTTTGCCATTGTGAGCATGCTAGCTTGCTAATGCTAGTGGTTAAGTCAAAGCATCACTGTTCTTAAGCATATAACAGCTAGGTCTGTAGACTGATCATTTGACAATGTATAACTTATTTTTTTGTCGCAACTAAAGAATGATTTATATATTTTCATAGTTACAGTTTATAATCAAATGAAAAATATGTAAAAAAACATTAAAAAAGCCAGTAAAGCTAGCTCCATTTGGCACAACTGTTTTTAAAGTGTAGTCTCCAGCACACTAATGATGAGCCATAAGAGAGACAATCCATTTGGTGAGTAAGGGGGAGGGGAGTATATGTGTTGTTTTATTATTATTATTTCTGTATGTGAAGAACTTTGTAACCCTGGTTTGAAAGGTCATATATAAACAAAGTAATCTTTAGCATTATGTTTATTATTTTGATGTCACCAGTGCAGCACTTTACTGCTGGAAGATGTGAGAGAGGATTAGCTGTTAACACCTCATGGGAGATGAGCCATTGTCCACTCTTCGCTAATTTGCCTGTACAATGAAGCAGGCTCAGCTGCAGTGTTTTTAACAGAGTCATTTTCCCAAAGAGCAGGCTCGTCATTGCCAGCATCGCCAGTTGTGCCATAAATGACTAATGAAAAGATGTGCCCACACGCGATGCATACACAAACACAACTCTCTACTGTTTATACAAACACACTGCTCACATGCTGCTCCACCATAACCACACCAATCTTCAGATCAGAGGCAATGATGCTTTATTTAATCAGATGCAGACAGAGAAATAAACACTGTGACAGAAAGTCCAGTCGCTCCTTGTACTTTACATTTAGTCTAATATAAAATGAGTGTACATATTATCTTTGTGGTTGTTTTTAGCTCCACTGGAGCGACGAGGTGATGTGCTGACAGTCTACGCTTTGTGTGATGTGATTTTAAAAAATAGTTTTTCTCTGCTTCTGAGTTGTATGTCAAAACAGGTATTTTTAAACATCTGTTATTTCAGGTCCAGCGTGACAGGAGAAGTAGAAATGCAACACTTTTAATGTCTCCTGGATGATGTGGGATTTAATAACAGCCACTGCAATGGGTGGGTGGGGGGTGTGAGTGTGTTGGAGGGGAACTCAGATAAAGCCCTAATTTTAGCAGCAATCTTACAACACCTTTGGAGCTCCACAAGAGGCAATTAAGTTATAGAGCCCCTGGGTGTCGTTTGAAAATCAACAACTTTTAATTTACTAAAAGAACAAGGTATACAAAGGGCCTTGTAAGCAACCAAGCAAAGGAACATAGGTAAATGACTTTTCTTGCCTGTTCCATGACCTTAACATCATTTGACATTTCTTTGTCATCTGTCTTTGATGTTATACTCTGTTTGAACGCTGACAAGTCGAGCTGGGAAATGCAAAAGCGAGCATGAAGAAAGTGAGAGGATCACGTCACAAATCAGATCCACACAGGAATGTAGTGTTGACATTGATGGTCCAAAGCAAAGGGCAGAGTGACGTGACAGGCATCTGAGTAGGGAAATTACGGACAGACGGACACGCACACAAAGCCTCTGAAAAACCTCACTGAATACATTAAAAGGGTTTGTGAGGTCTTGCTTTCTGACTCATTTTAGGTTCTCTCATGAATTAAACATGGCTCCCTGGAGATTTGTGAACTCCAGACCTGCATGTATTTTCAGCGAGGCTGTGATTGCGGTGTCTGTTCGCAGCAGCGTTTTCAGCAAGCCCAAATGAGAGGTGTTCGAATATGGATACCAGCCGGGTTGTTTTATCTTAGCGCTTTAAGAGGGTAACAAGCATTTATCTTGTTACTGGGAGAGTGACAGGATGCTTCGGCTGAATTGTGTTTGTGTCCTGATAACAAGAGCACTCATCTGTTGTGCTTGAAGCTAAAGGGGTACGAGTAAACCATTGAACTTGCTTCCTAAGGGATATCTACGGGACATATATTCTGCTCATGTGCTGACGCTGTGAGCTGTAAACAATAATCTGCACCGAGCACAGCGAATTGTAGCTCTTTTCCGTCTAAACAGTAGCAAGCTCCATCATTTTACCCCAGGGCCTGTACTGTATACTGAATAGCACTCGCTTCATTATTCCATTTTCAACATTTCAGAACTTGTGTTGTCAGCTTTGTGTGCAGTTCTCTGAGGTAACAACTGGCTTTGAGCTGAGCGAAGGGAAGGTTTTTATCAATATTAATCACTGCCCAAATGAAACCCCTGCAACAGATTAACTACCTGAATTATACTTCTCACTTGATTAACATAATTGTAAACAGTTTAATTCTCTAAATTACTTTTCTGTTACCATTATACGGGAGGCAATCCATTTGCTTTTCTAACCTGCGGAGGAACACTGTTTCCTGTTTGAAATGTGCACAGACGTGCTTGTTTTGCAAATGCTGCTGCGTATCTTTGAAATTATTAACTTTTCAGGAATAAAAGTCAATCATTTTTTATATATGTATCTTATATTTTTAAGTTTCAGAAAACCCTTTTATTACCAGGATCTGACCTGAATATATTGCTTATGTTTTTTTACAGTTCATCTTATGGGTTGTTAACCTGCCACTGGGCATGACAGGGTTACGAATCGGGTGTTGCAAACTCAGCAGTATCCCCCTATTTTACAATACAAATATGACTATTGGTGAGCACTCATCCATAGATTGTTGAGGTCAGAGTCTGCAGTTTTCTGTCAGTTCATCAAATACAGTGCTGAAATGAAAAATAAGCAAAATAGAAAGAAAGGGAGGGGGAGAAAAAGAGGGAGAAAGGGTTGTAGCAGAGCTCAGCCTTTAGGAGTATTGATACTGCAACTGCACAGTATTTACCGAATCACTGCATCCGATTCGATCTACACCGCCGCACTCGTCCAGGCTGATCTGCTGCCTCTGTTCCTTGGCCATGGAAACACTGGAACTTTCTATTTCCTTTATTTCCAAACCTCCTTCACTCCTCCCCTTGAGTGAAAGCAAAGAGTCATGGTTGCAGGTCCTGTCATGGTAATGTCTCGGGCTAAGATTGGCCCATGAAATAACATGGCCTCATCCCTATCTGTGCTCACTTATGACACTTTGAGGTCAGGCGGGTCAAATGACTAAAAACGTCCCCGGCTAGTTTGGCTCCAGGCCTTGCAAAGACACACACGCATACGCAAACAACCACACACACAAAAACTTCATAGCATCCCTCCCTCCCTTTTCCCATTATGCCCGATAGTGAGCTGAGTGTATCCAGTTGTGTCCTTCTCATGGATGACCTTCTCTGGAGTGACACTGCTGCACCGAGACGTTCGACTCACACTGGAGAAACAATTTCCCTAATGACATGTCTAACTCTCTTCCTCTTCCTCTCTCTCACACACACACACACACACACACACACACACACA